CGCAAACTATGACATCGGCCTAACAGCGATGCAGGGTAGCTGGCGCCGTTTTCGTCGGGAAAAGTGAGGGTCCAGCTTTGTACGAAGTAGCCGCACGTCCTGTCAAAATCCACGGTTTCAGTATCGGGTGCCATTCCACCCTACCCCAGGATTTTGTCAAGTTTTGGTGGTACCTATTGGTACCACTATTGACATCAAATGTTAATTTTATCCTGAGCTGGAGTTCTGCCTCTTCCAAAAATCCAGTTCATGAAAAGGAAACGTCAGCGTACTATTTAAGGTGTATTTGTGATTGGATGTTCAAGCAGAGTAGATCTCATAGACAGTGCGTTGTTACGTCCAGGAAGGTTCGATCATGTTTTGGAATGCCGTGTGCCAAATGAGGTAACTCTTTCCTTTTTGTTCTATTTCGAAATTCTTAAATATTCAACAGCAAGGAAACGCGAATATATAAATATTAAGTAGAGGAATGACCCATCGTCTTTTTCGATATGATCTACAAAGCAGAAAATTATTGATTCCATAACTACACCCTCCCTTTCAAAAAACGAGAAAGCGTCGGGTGCAGACCATACACCACAAGTGACGACGGCCTTCACAAAATGTAAATGTTTTCTGCCAATGAAATGATTAGCCTGTTGCAGTTGTATTCTATCAGTTGTCACTAATTACTATCATTTACCAGAAATCAGCTATCACTATGAACCACTACTAACCAGATTTACTTGGAGGCCGTCGTCACTTGTGGTGTATGGTCTGCACCCGACACTTTCTCGCTTTTTGAAGGGAGGGTACTCAAACGCTGCTGATGTTCACCAGGTTCAACTTATTTACACTTGATGAGAAAATCTCATGCGCGCATATTCGAGAATTTTTGAAACAAAAAAAGACCCGGAATCGACTTATTTGGAGAAATGATTTATTTCGTTGGATGAAGGGTCAGGCTTAGGCAAGGAATTCACTCACTCTTTCATCGCAGTAGTTACTTGGGCTACAATCCGAAATTTGATGGGGGACGGTTAATGGTGTCTTCGCCGAGGTCCAAGCCGGATTCGCGACTGATGTCGAAAATTTCAACATCTCATATAAACGTGTGCCGGCTTGTCGGTGGTACTTCAGATGAATTTTTTCCTTCTTCCATAATATACATCGATGGCTACAAATCGCATTTTTACCTATTCGGTGCATCTACGTGATAAACTACGGCGGTTTTTCGAAGTCATTAACATCATATTAGGTACAATTACAATGGTGACTCACTGACTTAATTTAGAAGGATCGGGCTGATATCCTCAAGGTGCACCTGCGATCTGTGAACCATGATCCAACTGTGCTCTGTGATGAATGGGCTGCACGCACTGATGGATGGACTGGAGCAGACCTGAAAGCGTTAATTACGAACGCTCAGTTCGACGCCATGAGAAATACCTCCGTTGGTGAGTGATCGCTAATATTATAATTAAATTGTTCGCGATCAATTGATTGGTAGCATTTCTGCTCACATTAGGCGGTCCAGGGTCTAACATAGTACGTAGAAATGAAATTTTTTCGGAAGATTCTAACGTCTCCTAAAAAGTTCGCGATTACCATTAGGCCATCGGGCACATTGCTCTACCGGCAGCGGACATTCGGGTTGCGTCAAAACGAATGGCGAACAATTTTTTATAATTCGTTCACGGCTCTCCATAGCGGATTTGATAAACGGAGTCAAATTCACGTATTCGGAAAGTAACTATTGTGTATGACTTCCAAACTTTCACCTTGGAACTGACAATTCAATCCTTATGTTAGTTTGATTTGCGAACCAAAGACATGTTTCACCAGAAATCTCATTTACAAAAGTATGACTGAGTTCGCTTGAACAGCTTGTTGAGGTATTGAAAGATGTTTCCAGCTTGTTTGAGAAGCGTGATCACGACAGGCTAAGTTCGATGCAAGTTTTCTGATGACTCAAACGAACGCAGGGTCAACCGTCACGTTGGACCAATTTCAAAAATTTTACGACCCCTCCCCCCTTCTGGAGGGCCTCGATACGACCCCCCAGGGTCAACCCTTCACGACCCCCCTCCACCACCCATGAGACTCAGGGGGCTCACCAATACACCTTGCCTTTCCTTCCCACCCCGAAGAGCACTCCAAAACGTAAAACATCACACTACAAACATGATCGTTATGTTATGTATTTGGACTGAACAATTCTCACTGCGAAGGACAAGCCACCCCCTTCGGTCAACATCGATCACACAAAAACGATCAACCCGTCCTTCGTACCCTTGAAAATGTCCAAAGGGACGCGTGCACCGTGTTCGAACTGTCAGTGGTGGACTAGCCCTTTAATTGACGTCATCAGAACGGATACTCAGCTATCATGGTCGCTGCTTGGGAGACGCAAACTCAACTGTTGCTCTGGCACGCGTCAAAATATGAACTCATTTACCGTAGCGCGAGGCTGGCCTTGAAGCGACAGTGCTTAAACCCTTGAACCGTCGCGTGAATTCCCGATTTTTCAGTGATTCACTGGTTTGCTTGTTCGCCGGGCCAAATCTTATTCGAGAAGAAAGTTGTTGTAAAGTAATGTGGGAGTTTGTGTATGGTGTTCCAATAGCACAAAAAACAACAGATTACATTTCAGTGAGGTTGATCTGATTCAGTTTTCGAAATGGGGGAAGGAGGCGATTTTTTGGCTCCCCGCCCTCCTCCCCCTCCCAAGTTCCCACTAAACCTTAAAGGATAGTCCAATCATTCGATATCTAGATTTTCTAGTTTAGATCAGCAGCAAGGAGATGTAGCTATAAGGAATGTCAACATCGAGAGAGCTTTCAACGACTTTTCGCCTGTACGACGGGTGGACCAAAACAGATCTGGTGTCGGGAAGAAAGCTTCGCTACGGTGATGCTTGAACTGTTCAGCTGTCTGGGACACTTATCCTGCACATAGTTTGTAATACAGATGCTTTGAACGTGTTTAATAAATCCTAACGTCTTTCATTCTTTTTTTTGATAGAGTCACTTTTTTTCTGCTATAACATTTGAACTTTACAGGGCATCCACGTTGTTTTTTGTTCTTGCAGGGCGGTTCACTTATTTTGCCGCTCGAATTATTCCATTAAACTTTTCTACGGGACTTTATGACTTCAACTTAAAGTTCAAATTGATTTACAAGCGTCTGATTGCTCCATCATAAGTTTGCTACCATTTTTAGCCCACTGTAAAATGGCGTTATGTGAGCCCTTCGTAGCTTTTCGCTGTCTGTTTTATCAGCATACAATCGTCCAACTATGCTTCCATTAGTGTGTAAATATGTGACAATTTCTGTGCTTGAAAAACTTCATGATGGCACTGTGCCTCAGAAAAATGCCAGGTAAATCGAAAATGACCTTATGTTGAGCGCGGTGGCGTGGTACACATGGTTGTGAAGGCTCGCAATCTGAGGCCGTTTTTATACGGTCTCCCTTGTGCCGTCTTAATAAGGTACTCCTTTTAGCATGAACGTGAACCCTAATAAACTCAAACGCGCTCCAATAACAACTGCTCGCATCTGCATCGCACAATATGTCAGAGTCGGAGCACTCTATTTATCTATTGGACAAGAGTGGCAAGGAAAAGGGGCTGAGTGGAGGGTGGGTCAACCCTACGTT